TTCCCACGTCCAGCCCAGAGAGGGCTGTTGTTCCCACGTCTGACCCAGGGAGGGCCTCAGATCCCGAGTCTAGCCCAGAGAGTGCTCCTGTTCCCACGTCCAGCCAAGAGTCAAGTCAAGTCAAGTCACCTTTATTTAGCCTGCCCCGCCATGGCCTCCTGTACGGCCTGTTCCGCCATGGCCTCCTGTACTGCCTCTTCCGCCATGGTTTCCTGAACCGCCTGCCCCGCCATGGCCTCCTGTACGGCCTGTTCCGCCATGGCCTCCTGTACTGCCTCTTCCGCCATGGTTTCCTGAACCGCCTGCCCCGCCATGGCCTCCTGTACGGCCTGTTCCGCCATGGCCTCCTGTACTGCCTCTTCCGCCATGGCCTTCTGGACCGCCTGCTCCACCATGGCCTCCTGGACTGCCTGCTCCGCCATGACTTCCTGGACCGCCTGCTCCACCATAAGCCCCTGAACTGATACCACCCTGGAGGCCTCCCGTCCTGTACAAGCCTGTCCCTCGAGGCCTCCAGAGCGCACCCCCCGCCCCCCCCCCCCGGAGGTAAGTGGCGCCCTCCCGGGGGGGGGGGTCCAGGGAGGGCCACAGATCCTGTGTCTGGTCCAGGGAGGGCCACAGATCTCAAGTCTAGCCCAAGGAGGGCTCCTGTTTCCATGTCCTGTACTGCCTGTTCCGCTATGGCCTCCTGTACTGCCTCTTCCGCCATGGTTTCCTGAACCGCCTGCCCCGCCATGGCCTCCTGGACCGCCTGCTCCGCCATGGCCTCCTGGACCGCCTGCTCCGCCATGGCTTCCTGGACCGCCTGCTCTGCCATGGCCTCCTGGATCGCCTGCTCTGCCATGGCCTTCTGGACCGCCTGCTCCACCATGGCCTCCTGGACCGCCTGCTCTGCCATGGCCTTCTGGACCGCCTGCTCCACCATGGCCTCCTGGACTGCCTGCTCCGCCATGACTTCCTGGACCGCCTGCTCCACCATAAGCCCCTGAACTGATACCACCCTGGAGGCCTCCCGTCCTGTACAAGCCTGTCCCTCGAGGCCTCCAGAGCGCAGTTAAGTGGTTAAGAAGTTAAGTGACGCCTTCCGGGAGGGGGAGGTAATGTCAGACTTGTGTTCCTGTTTTGTTGTGTTTTTCTCCCCATGTGCTGCCCGTGACCCAGTTTCTCCCTCTCGTTTTGATTAGTCATTTGGTTCAGGTGTGTCCCGGTAATTACCCTTGTTTGTCTATGTATTTAAGCCCCAGTCTGTTCAGTCTTTGGTTTTCCGGTCACCATTATGTTATGCTGTGTTTTCCCTCACCATTCTGCCCGTGTTCTAAGTTTGTTCATTATACGAAGTGAGTTTGAACTGCACCTCCTGTCTTCGCCTTCCTTCCTGCATCACCGTGACATATATATATATATACATACACATGTAATTGCCCATATTTTAATTGAAGATATGTCATAATAGAAACATGAATGCAAAATAAATGATTTCACTCAAATAACCTTTATGTTTTAATGAAAAGCAAATATGTCTGAAATGTACATCTAATTCATGGAAATAATGAATAACAACCTCAACAGTTACAATACGTATTAAATAATAATAATAAAACTGTCAGCTTTTAACTTCAAAATAAAAACTATAATTTTAACTCCACAAATCTAAAAACACTGATATGTCCACAAATACAATTCATTAACAAATAGACATAAAAAGCATTGATATTCCACATAGCACAGTGTCATAGATTACTATTTTCCAGAGACACAAAATAAGATCAGTTAACCTCAAAAGTATTTCTTGATCTATATCTCACAATTGTTGATGTGCAGATGAAATTACAAAATTAAAAATAGCTTGGCCATTCATCAGAAGTGTTGAGAAAAAAACTTCTTTACAGAATCAAACGTTATTTCTTATTTGAATTTATCAGAACAAGTTATCAAATGTATCTTCAGATACAGAAGGGCTGCCATTTATTTCATTTGTGAACAGTAACTTAATCTGAATCGGCAACAAAATCACACACACACACACACACACACACACACACACTTTTCAAGTAGGCTACATTTGACCCTGGCAAAGAAGCAACCCAGTTGACTGAAGTGTGTGTCTCTGTGTGTGCTGCAGATGATGCTGTCCATGCTGATGTCTGTGTTTGGTGTTGCTGGAGGTCTGTATTGTATGATCATCTCCGCCGTCGGCCTGCAGGACGGCCCTCTGTGTGACACAGGAGACGGGATCTTCATCTACCCCTTCCTAAACAGCACTGCAGAGTAACAGCACTCACATTGACCCGTTTGTTTGTACACTATACAGTGTGTATAATGTGCGTCTGTGAGGATGCAGGGGAAACAAAATCTCATTCTCAGAAATGCACAAAACTCTCTGGCAGAACTTGATTGTGAAAACCCCAAACTGAGCGGTTTGCTTATAACATGTTAGAACATACTCTGTTTTCACTTCATTTTCACATTGACACTTTCACACCCGTGCTTTCCTCCGTTCAGAGAGAGTTACCTGTTCAACCAGACGTCATGGGCGGTGTGTGTGCGGCCGCAGAATGTGGTGATGTGGAACGTGGTCCTGTTCTCCATTCTCTTGAGCATCGGGACTCTGGAGGCTGTGCTTCTGCTGGCACAGGTAGTCAACGGACTGATCGGATGCCTCTGTGGGACCTGCATGAACAAGAACCAGGTCTGCTTGCTCTTCATGTTTACTATAAAGTTTATTTTCAGTGCCAAAAACAGCAAACTATTGCTTTCAAAAGTATGTAATACCAGCCTCACAAAAGATGTGTTATTGCTTTCGCTTCAGCAGACACAGATGGAATGAAAACCCAAGAGCACACTCCAGTATGTGGGACCTGTGCAGAAATACATACGAACACAATGACATCCACACAGATCTACAGAAACACACGTGTGAAATACACGGAGGTTTCATAACACACATATGATGAATATCATGTCTAGTTTTTGTGAATCATACCCTTGTACTCTATAAATGAAGCCTTTGACAGGTAATGAATCCATAGAAGGTCAAAGCATCTCATGGCAATTCGTAGGTGATTTTACATTTTGGTGGCTAATTCACATGAATTCATCCAATCTTATTGATGGTTATGTTTGGGGGTGGATCTTCATGTTTACCTTTTTATCAAAAAATCGTATGTTGAATTCGTGCAATATCACCTCCTCATAAAATAGCTAAGTTTTCTCATGAGATTAGGTTGCAATATTTCAGACACATGATGTTTGTATAACCCTGTGATATTCAACTATCAAATATAATAAACATATTTTCCAAGTTTTGTAAAGCTGCTTACATTTATTCATTTTGTTAAAGTATGTAAAGATGAGTTAGACATCCACTAGTGTAAAACCTAATAAATCTCCTTACTAACCCTTGTTAGTTGACTTAAAGTGCAAGAGTTTGTTGAAATTACTTGTGTAAATCTAATCATGTGCATTATCTGCGTCCTTCGCATTAGTTACACAGAAAGATACATTTTAAGATAAATTAATTAATCAGTTCTGATATCAGCCCCACAAAACTGTGACAATGCCTTGCAAATGAACCTTGATTATCTTTGTGTAGACACACATTCAGCTTGCACCCTGATAGCAAGCAACCACTGAATCAATGTTAAAAAATGTTGATTTGTCAGTTATTTGCATTGAATCAAAATCACTTTTGCACCCGCAAAAACTACTTTTTGCACTACTACTACTGTTTGTTTTCTTTGTATTTATTATACAGTTAACAAAAGCAAAAAAGGCCTCTAACACTAGCTTGCTCTATTCTTATCATATTCTATCTGTTTTCTTTTTCTTTTTTACATGATTTTAAAAAAACAAAACCTTGCTATGTGTACTGCGTCAGACTAACTGAGACTTGTTATAGCACTTGTGTATCATTGCTCTCTTGTTAGTTTTGATTGCTTCTATCATCCTCATTTGTAAGTCTGTTGTGCTCTGTTGGATTGAGATCTGGTGACTGTGAAGGCCATTTGAGTAAAGTGAACTCACTGTCATGTTCAAGAAAGCAGTTTGAGATGATGTGAGGTTTGTGGCATGGTGCGTTACCCTGCTGGAAGCTGCGGTCACAAGATGGGTAGACTGTGGTTGTAAAGGGATGGAGGTGGTCAGAACTGCAGAACTCAGGTAGACTGTGGTGTTTAAATAATGCTCAGTTGGTAGTAAAGGGGCTCAAAGTGTGCCGAGAAAATATCCCTCACACCATTACACCACCAGCAGCCTGAAACCATTAATACAAGGCAGGATGGATCCATGCTTTCATGTGGTTTACATCAAATTCTGACCCTGCCATCTGAATGCTGCAGCAGAAATCGAGACTCATCAGACCAGGCAACCTTTTTCCAATCGTCTGGTGTCAGTTTAACTGAGCCCGGGTGAATTGTAGACTCCGTTTGTTGTTCTCAGCTGACAGGAGAGGCACTCGGTGCGGTCTTCTGTCCATCTGATTCAAGGTAAAATGTGTTGATGCTCTTCTGCAAACCTTGGCTGTAATGAGTGATTATTTGAGTTACTGTTGACCTTCTCTCAGCACAAACCCATCTGACCATTCTCGGATATCATCAAGGCATCTTCACTAGATATTTTCTCTTTTTCAGACCATTCTCTGTAAGCCCTAGAGATGGTTGTGTGTGAAAATCCCAGCAGATCAACAGTTTCTGAAATACTCCAACCAGCCCGACTGACACCAACAATCATGCCACATTCACTGTCACGTCAGTCAGCTTTCTTCCTCTTCTGATGCTCGGTTTGAACTTCAGTATACTGTCTTGATCATATCTGCATGCTTAATTGAGTTGCTGCCATGTGATTAGCTGATGAGATATTTGCGGTAGCAATCAGTTTAACAGATGTACCAAATAAATTATCGGTGAGTGTAAAAGCTTCACCGAGAGAGAGTGTGTGTGTGTGTGTGTGTGTGTGAGAGAGAGAGAGAGAGAGAGAGTGTGTGTGTGTGTGTGTGTGAGAGAGAGAGTGTGTGTGTGTGTGTGTGTGTCACCGGCTGCTAAACCGGTCTGATCAGTATCATAGTTCAGTCCTGTAAGGGAATACGTCTTGTTGAATGAGCAGATCGGACAGACAGGAAGAAGAGCGAAAGGGAGCACATACTGAAAGGGAAAGAGAAAACGACAGCAGCAAAGATAAACAGGGGAGATGAAGATAAAGAGCGGCATTAGGAGAATGGGTAGCAGAGAAGGACAGGGTGAAAGTCTAGAGTTATGACTGAGCTATAAACACAATCACATGTTATTGCAAATAGATATATGGAGGAATCAGTCTAATGAGGCCCGCATGCATTCGTTTGTCTGAGAATACACAGATACTCTACCTTATCTTCTGTCTCTGCCATTACAGTAAGTATATATATAAATGTGTGTGTGTGTGTGTGTGCTTTTATGTGTTTACAAAGATATGCTTTGGGACAAAAGTGTATTTTTAGGGTTTGGACTTGGGTTAGTCTGTAGTCATTATAAAATACAGACGTCAATGTTATGTCCTCATTTACACAGTTAGATAAACCTTTGTGCAAAGGTGTTATGATTAAAGAAAAAGTAATCACATGAATGCATATTATTAAGAACAATACTATTGTGATTGCAATGTTTTAGTTTGAACTGTTCAGGTATTTGTTTATGCATCCTTCCAAACTAAACTTTCTAACATTAAACAGAATTTCTCTGCAATGTTATAATAAGGTTATAGTAATCCTGTGTGAGTTTGGTGCTGCAGTATTTGGTATTTTAATGTAATATCACAGCGTGTAACCGTGGCATAATACTGTTTTAATGCTTTCTTAACCCCTGAACATATCAGATCAACATGGTTAGCACTTATAAAACTGCCACGTATGTGACTTACAGCTGAAGTGAATACTGAAGGATTCTGGAGGCTGAATGAGTCAGGCCAGACAAACCTGTTTCTGCCTCACTTTTCACTTTCCTGTCACTTGGGTATTCTTGCTAAGTTATTTGTATTAAAAACACAGTTTCAGAGCAGAGCTTTATTTGGAAAGGAGCAGGAATGGGGAGTGTAGAAGTGATGTTTGCTAAGCTGGGATTGGTCAGTGGCGTTTAAAGGCAGGGCTTAGCAAAGAATCATTTCACTAGTAATAACACTGATTCTTGAGAAGTGGGACAAAACAGAGTGCAAACCAACTAAACTACATTTTTGTATCTTGCATATAGGCTAAACTATGCTTTGGTGCAACCTCCCAACTTTTCTCTTTTTATCAAAATGTGCTTTTGACCTTGCCGTCACTTGATTTGCAGTCAAGCAATTTAAGATGTTTTTAACACTTCAAAACACATTCTCATGTTAGCAGACAGATTACATTTTCTTACGTGTTGACAGATTTGGCATTTCTTTCACAAAACAGATGGAGTTCATGTAGAAGCCGTTCTGTTTTCTCTGTTGATGCGAGATGCTAATAGAACCTGCTTCAGGAGAATAACCTTATCTGAACATTTCAGATCATTTCCTCAGAAATTGGAGGATGGCGTTGACATATCATGGTTGTGACGCAGGAAATATTAACATTAGGATTTAAAATATTATAAAACCATAAAACTGAGCAGAGCCTGAGTGACACTGATGTACTCTGCAGAGAATATTCCCTGATTTTATTACATTTTTATGAATGTCTGACGGTGTTGACACTTATGAACCACGCAAGTGTCATTGAAAAACAACCTTGCTTTTTATATGAGATATTATTAAGTGTTGCTTTTGATAAAACAAGCTATTTTTCATCATTACATTTTTTTTATCCATTTTATAGCATATGAATGATTGAAGCCTTCTCTGTGGACACAGTTTTAGATGTAGTGAGAAGACAATAAGTGTCAGATTTCATATAATAATGATAAAATTAAACTGAAGGGGATGATTGTGTTAAATACATTCTATTCTTAATCCCTCATAACATTTACAATTTCAAATATTTTCATTTGTAAACCTGGACGTGTTTTGTTCCATGTCTCAAGAATCAGTGATAAGACAGACATGCCTGCAGCTTCCACTGCAATGCTTGAGTTTATTTTATCATTGCTATTGAACTCCACCTCCTGAACTTGTTCCTGGTTTAAAGAGGGGTAATCGTTAACTAGGGTTAGTCACTGAGAGGACATCTGCTGGATGTTCTTACCCCAAGGGCTCTTCTCGAGAGTTCACTGCATCTACATCCACAGTGTGAGGGACACATCTTCTCACCTTGAGTATGTGGGGAAAATGATGCAGGAACATGTTTGATGGGAGCTTTTGTAACACGTCAAAAGAAAGATGATTATGTTTCTTGATTGTTGTGATGGAAGTTGCAGTTTGGGTGGAGGTTGGCAGCTTAATCCACTGGAGAGGAACAGAGAGAGTGAAAGATATGAAAAGTGAATCTGTGCCTCGTTGTACCTCGTTGCTTGTTCAATGGCTGTAGCTGGAGGGAGAGAGCATTTGATTGTGGTAGTGCATTGAGATTGCATTGAGGAGCAGTTGCTAATAGAACCTGCTTCAGGAGAATAACCTTATCTGAACATTTCAGATCATTTCCTCAGAAATTGGAGGATGGCGTTGACATATCATGGTTGTGACGCAGGAAATATTAACATTAGGATTTAAAATATTATAAAACCATAAAACTGAGCAGAGCCTGAGTGACACTGATGTACTCTGCAGAGAATATTCCCTGATTTTATTACATTTTTATGAATGTCTGACGGTGTTGACACTTATGAACCACGCAAGTGTCATTGAAAAACAACCTTGCTTTTTATATGAGATATTATTAAGTGTTGCTTTTGATAAAACAAGCTATTTTTCATCATTACATTTTTTTTATCCATTTTATAGCATATGAATGATTGAAGCCTTCTCTGTGGACACAGTTTTAGATGTAGTGAGAAGACAATAAGTGTCAGATTTCATATAATAATGATAAAATTAAACTGAAGGGGATGATTGTGTTAAATACATTCTATTCTTAATCCCTCATAACATTTACAATTTCAAATATTTTCATTTGTAAACCTGGACGTGTTTTGTTCCATGTCTCAAGAATCAGTGATAAGACAGACATGCCTGCAGCTTCCACTGCAATGCTTGAGTTTATTTTATCATTGCTATTGAACTCCACCTCCTGAACTTGTTCCTGGTTTAAAGAGGGGTAATCGTTAACTAGGGTTAGTCACTGAGAGGACATCTGCTGGATGTTCTTACCCCAAGGGCTCTTCTCGAGAGTTCACTGCATCTACATCCACAGTGTGAGGGACACATCTTCTCACCTTGAGTATGTGGGGAAAATGATGCAGGAACATGTTTGATGGGAGCTTTTGTAACACGTCAAAAGAAAGATGATTATGTTTCTTGATTGTTGTGATGGAAGTTGCAGTTTGGGTGGAGGTTGGCAGCTTAATCCACTGGAGAGGAACAGAGAGAGTGAAAGATATGAAAAGTGAATCTGTGCCTCGTTGTACCTCGTTGCTTGTTCAATGGCTGTAGCTGGAGGGAGAGAGCATTTGATTGTGGTAGTGCATTGAGATTGCATTGAGGAGCAGTTTCAGTGGCAGTGCTAAAAGCCTCCATCGAAACCTTAAATTTGCTTCTGGTCCCAACTGGGAGCCAGTGGAGTGAGATCAGGAGGAGTGTGATGTGGGTTCACTTTGACTGATTAAAGACCAGATGCACTGCTGCATTCTGGATTGTCTGCAGAGGTGAAGGAGTGGGATCATCAGGTTATATGTATCTTATGCAGAGCAGTGGTAAAAGAAGCCATGTGCTTCTATGCTATGAGGTTGTGTAAATGAAGAAAAAAAAGAGGGCCGAGAACTGAACCTTGAGGAACACCAGTGATTAGCTGTTGTTATACAGACACCCCTCCTCTCCTCAGACAGCTTAAAAAAATCTGCTTGTGAGGCAGGACTGAAGCCACAAAAGTACCGTAACTATGATGCCCAAGTCCGAAAGTCTGCATGTCGACAGAAGATGGTCTGAACAGACTTTCTAACACACTCAGCGTCCGAATGCACTCGCTTGCTTGACTGACACTTTGTGATGACGATATGTAGGAGGTTGTTGCTCTGTGTCATGCAACTGAGAGATTAGTTCGTGTCTGCCCTGATTATTTCTTTCAGTCACTAACTCAAATTAGAGGAGCATTTGTGGTATAATGGTTTGAGAGTGGGACTTGTAACCTGAAGGTTGTGGGTGTGATTCTCAGTACTAGTAGGAACTGTAGGTGGAGGGAGTGAATGAACAGCACTCTCTAACTTGGATCAATTCAGAAGACAAATTCTGAGTATGAGTTACCATACTTGGCCTACAAGTCACGTCACCTAAATTCTTCCCTCACAGCACTGCTCCTGGAGGGCAGAGTTTAGCTTCAGTCTTAGTTAAACACACCTAAACCAGATAATCAGCAGGATTAGACACCTCGTCACAGCACATAGTTCTTTTATTAAAGTGCATGATACTACAGTGCTCATAATGCTTGTTGGCCCTCCATACAACTGATGATTCTGTGAGCACATTATAGTAATATGTTGGTTTTATTATTTCCAATTCCAAATATTAACAAGTTTCCCAAAACCTTCTTAAACCCCCGTCTAGCATCAGTAAAACTATCTTCTGTCCCCAAATTGGCATAAGACTCATCATACAAACAGAGCAATGTTTTGAAAGTGTTACAGAGTCTCAGTGTTGATAGCTACTCTTTCTAAATGTGTTAGAAGTCAACTAACCAACGATGGTTAAGAATGCCCCAAAAATGCTGCTTTTGCATATAATCAAAGTATTTTAACATCCACTAAATCTCTGTCTCCTCTCTCTGAAGCTCAGGCCATTACCATCCAGGTGCCGAGGAGCCCTATCACAGCACCGGTTCAGGGAAGGGCTCTTTTCTCCGTGGACATCACATGCACCGGGACTCCAGCGATCAGATGGATGTTCAGTTCTGTGAGCAAACAGCAAAGCATCGCAGCCTGGATGCTCGGAGGAGCTGCAAACGTCACGAAAATGTACGAGGGAAGAGTGCAAACTCACCCCAACGGCTCGCTAACCATATCCCACCTACGTCTACAAGACTCTGGCTATTACACCATCACTGTGACTGAACCGTCTGGAAACAGCAAGGACGTGTGTATGGTGTTGAGTGTAACTGGTGAGCATGTCGTTTGTGATATACGTAGAGACACAAATGCACACTGACATGATGCTTTAGTCTATCTACCCTGTGTTTGAACTGTTTCTCAGAGGTGCTGTATGAGGACATTCAGTACTTTATCGTGTTCATCATTGTGTTGGGGACGCTGGCTGCATTTCTGATGCTGTGCATGTGGCTCTTGAATAAACTACACAACTTCATAAAGGCCTGGAGACAACGGAGATGCTTAGCAGGTACTACATCGACTGTCATTTACATTTATTGCAATGCACAGACGTTGTGCACACAGCTGTGTATGTTCGATGTCCTGAATGTGCATGCTAAGTGTCTGAATGAGGTAAGAGCTTATAATTAATGCTCATTAATGCAGATCACACACTCACTGACAGGCGAGAAGAGGATAGGATCGTAGCTCCATTGGTGGCAATGCGTCTACATTTAGTCATTTAGCAGACGCATTTATCCAAAATGAGGACAACGGACGCAATCAAAATGAATGATATACAAGCGCTATAAAGTCTCGACTTAACGCAGTACACGCAGCAAGTTTTTTAAAAATTATATATTAAAATAAAAATTAAACGGATAGAATAGAAAAAGAATAGAGCAAGCTAGTGTGAGGCTTTTTTTGCTTTTGTTAATTGTATAATAAATAAAAAGAAACCAGACAGATAAAATACAAAAAGATTAGAAAAGCTAGTGTTGGTTTTTTGTAAGAAAACAAGCAGTAAGTAAATGAATAGAGTGCAAGTCTAATAGAGTGCTAGAGTTAGAGGGTCAACTAAAGATGTAAGAGATTCTTGAGGATGGCTAAGGACTCAGCTGCTGGGATTACTTGGGCTTATGATGCTTTTGGGAAACGCAGCCCAGGCCGTTTGATCCACCAGAAAGAGTGTTTGGCAGAATATACTCTTCGTTTGCAAATGAAACTGAACCTCTGTATTTGCATTCTGCACAGAGCACAACGAGACTGAACTGCAGCCACTGTGACAGAAACACTGATTAGTGATTGACCAGATGAGCGTTTGCCTCTACAGAGTGCAGATCAACAGACCGACAGCAACACCAACTCTCTGAGCGCCACACCATCAACACCACAATCACATACTTATACATGTGTTGTTATACTTATAAAGGGTCCAAGGACGTCCTCTCGAGTACCAGATGGTGGACATTTTATGAATGTTCTTTGTGTTATTTTTAATGGATGAATGTTTTTAAAAATCATTGGATATTGCAGGGGCAAATTTCCATTTGTGGATCAGGTACCAATCCTAGCGAAATTCCTCAGTTATGTTATTTAGTGTCCAAATGTCTCTTATGAAACAAAAAGATTTGAATGTGGCTCAGTGTCATGATTGCTAAATAGTAATATCTAACAGCATATTTAATTTTTTCCCCCCAGATTTTCTGGGTAAGACATGTCTGATCTTTTCAATTGTAAAGGTTCAAAATAAATCTTTGCATAATGATGATTACCTGCACTTGTTGTTCTCATTAAACGTAGTGTCTTTAGATTTTCCAGTGTATAGAAGGATTGCTTTCTTCTGTTTGTACATCTGTGTCCCTGCAGCACAACAGCAGTGTTAAGTCGCTGGGGGATATTTGTAGCAATAGCCAACAATACATTGTATGGGTCACAATTATACATTTCTCTTTTATGCCAAAAATCATTAGGATATTAAGATCATGTTCCATGAAGATATTTAGTAAATGTCCTACCTTAAATATATCAAAACTTAATGTTTGATTAGTAATATGCATTGCTAAGAACTTCATTTGAACAACTTTAAAGATGATTTTCTCAATATTTAGATTTTTTTGCACCCTCAGATTCCAGATTTTCAAATAGTTGTATCTCAGCCACATATTGCCCTATCCTAACAAAGATTATTCAGCTTTTATATGATGCATAAATGTCAATTTCAAAAAATTGACCCTTATGCCTGGTTTTGTGGTCCAGGGTCACACATGTGCTTTCACAACAAAGGAAGAATGCAGAGCTGGAAGTACAAATGTTTTATTTCCAACCAGTGTTTTGGCCATCGCTGGCCTTTTCTTAGAAAAATTACAAATGGTGAAGCATCAAATCAATGTGAGACCCCAGCGGGCTCTAGGGACACGGGGTGAGGGCCGCCATCAGCAGCTCCATCTTGTACACAAAGTTTCTTCCTTCCATGCGGCCCCAGTGCACCTCTCTGTAAGGACCCCTCAGGTGCGTCCATCTGCCCTCCTGCAGCACGTCGCTCTTGAGCAGCTCTTTGGCTTGACTGCGTGGGAACTGAACCAGCACCTTGCAGCCGCTCTCTGGACCGTTGCGCACTGCAGACAGACAGACACATGTACTGTGCTTCAGGTTCATTGTGCATTACTGTTTATGGATCTCCATGCCCTGCCGTGAGGACAGATCACCGCTGTAATAAAGCATGTGTAACGCTGGCTCAGACGCACCTGAGATGGTGTGTTCTCCGCTGGGAGACGCGACCGTGATGGCAGAGGCGTTCCCGATGCTCTCGATGGGGCCGAGGCCCACGTGATTACTGAAGCTCAACACGTGCCAGCCCATGACTTTAGCCAGCTGCTGCACAGCGTGAACCTGATGCTGCGACATCTGCACACACACACACACACACACCATCATGACATTATGACAGCCAGAGTTCAGACAAAAATTAAGATTTGTTTGAAACATGCCAATCCTCAGTTCATCTGAGACTAGGAGTTGTTTCTTCATCAAGTTTGTAGAAATGTATCACTGCATCAGTGTCTCAGCAATGGATGTGAATGGGTGCCGTCAGAATGAGAGTCCAAACAGCTGATAAAAACATTACAATAATCCACAGCACTCCAGTCCTTCAGTTAACATCTGGAGAAGACCCCAAATTGGCATAAGACTCATCATACAAACAGAGCAATGTTTTGAAAGTGTTACAGAGTCTCAGTGTTGATAGCTACTCTTTCTAAATGTGTTAGAAGTCAACTAACCAACGATGGTTAAGAATGCCCCAAAAATGCTGCTTTTGCATATAATACATTTCTGCAAACCTGATGAAGAAACAACTCCTCCTGATCTCGGACGGCCTGAGGATGAGCATGTTTCCATCAGATGATCATGTGATCTCTGTGCACCTGTGACAGCAGGAAGTCCTGCAGCTCCTGCTCCTGGTGTGAGAGCGTGACGACGCGTCCGTCTCGATGCACAACCCTGATCTGCTCCACACCGATGTTCAGCTGCAGCTGGATCGACCTGAGCAGGATATTTGAGACAATCAGTGCCAACGCTGAGCTGAGTAATTAACCGCGAATGTTCGCTGCGATGGCGAAAGAGCGAGGATTTTTTTTCCATCGTGTGTCGATTTTTTCCCTGTCGTTCAGATTTGAGCTTAGATCACGTGACCGGAGCAGCTGCTGTTACACAAAAGAGTGAGAGTGGTGGCGCAGTTTCCAAAACCAGTGTAAACAAGCACAGAAGAAGAATGTTCCGAGAGAGGAGAGAGTGGATGCTGAGTTCTTGCTATCTGAGAACAGATTTATTCTCACACGTTCTTAATATCATTTCTATTAATTCTCCACTGAATTATGTGATCTGGAGAGCACCGTCCGTTTTCTTCCATGAGCGCGAGTGTTACGAGTTATTAGAGCGCGTTCACTCAAGATCTGTCAATCATGCGATCATATCTCCTGTCATTACGTATGAAAAAAATGAGAACATTTTTTCTATATTTAAATTAAGCAAATAGACTCAAGATATTTTTATAACAATAAAGGATGTTTATGACAAATGATAAACCGTGTTGCGTTCAATCCATTATAAAACACAGAGTGGTTGTCTGCAGAAGTGTGAGATGCGGTTTCATGAGTGAGGCCTGTCCTCTCAGTAACTGCTGCTGATGTGTGTCTGTTATCAGCTCATACTTGCAGATCTGCTCGTATCCCTGCGAGGTGATGAGCACTTTGACGCTGGACTCATACACAGAGTTGATGTTGGACCAGTGAGCCTGGATCTGAGGGTCCTCTATACGACTGGCCAGGCTGTCGATGGTCCGCGCCGTCCTGAAAGAAACAGACTTTACTGACCTTTGGGCAAATATACTGCAATATACACACCTGACGGAAACTGATCAGTGAAAATTATTAAAACACACACACACACACACACACACACATTGAAAAAAATCAGAGCCCTACATTATTTGTACTTTGCTTAGATGCTGAAACAAGCCTAACACTCATTTCTTTACCCAGTTTCACAGCTCAGATGCAGCCTTCCATAACTACACTGTATTCATATGATTACTAGATAATCTTTACTAAGTGGAGAGATCTCGAGCAGACACACACAGAGATGTACAATCACTCTCTGAACTCCTCTGTGTGAGATGCTCACCTGCTCCTCAGGAAGATGTGTTTGGCCTGTTTGATGATCTTCTCCAGGAGTCCCTCGCTCTGCTGCAGCGAGCTGATCTCTGCTTTGTCGTAGGCCATGGGTCCCGCCAGACGCAAGCGCTTGTGGCCGAACGGAGAGCTGGCAGGATGAGGCATCACCACCGAGCTCAGCGTCTGCTTGTGGAACTACACACACACACACACACACACACACAGAGATGAGGAGGAGGAGGAGGAGGAGGAAGAGCGCTCCGGGGATGTGCCTGTACCTCTCGGATCAGCTGGTGGAGGTTGTGCTCTAACACATACAGGTGGTCGTCTGGTTTGCTCTTGTCTGGAGAGGCTCTCTGGATTTTCTTCTCTCCAGTGGAGTGACAGAGAGAGATGGACAGCTGCAGACCTGAACACACACACACACACAGACAGAAACACACACACACACACACACACACACACACACACACAGACAGACAAACAGACACACACACACACACACACAGAGACAGACAGCGAGAGAGTTACACTAATAATAATAACAACAGATGTTCTTTTAGAGTCACAAATCATGAATAAAGGTGATGAGAACATGTTTCTATTACAGTGTTCATATGACAAGTGTGTGCATTGCTCGTGGCTAAATGAGTGTAAATACCAGGAAAGGGTTGCGAGAGGATCTGGTTCTTGACGACGATGTGAGGAATCTGTGATTTGATCTGAACAGCTTCACGTGAGAGCTGAGCAAAGATCTCCTTACACAGCAGCACATTCTGAGCCGCTTCCAGCTTCAAGTGCCACATCTGAGAAGCTGAGAGGAACGCAGAACACCATTCACATTCAAGAGCAACAGACCACAAAACACACATTTGACATCAGACGACGTCACCACTCAAAACGTGTTTGAGTAGACAGCTGAACAGCTTTGATTCACACTTACTCCTGCAGAAATGAATGACTCTGATTCTCCTGCTGAGCTTTAGATCACTGAAGCGTTAACATATCTGGGAACTTAAAAAGGATAGTTCACCCAAAAATGAAGATTTTGTCGTCATTTACTCTCCATCGTGCGATTCCACACAAAAGATGATAAAGATGACATTCTGAAAAACTGGAAAAGGTGCTCCACAGAAGAAATCCATCCACAGATATGAACGATACGAGGATGAGATGTTTGTTTTTCTGGAGCTGCACAAGTGTGTTTGTGACGAGCGTTTAATAAACCAGGCCCAGTTCGACGCTGGATTTGCACATGAGTTGCCACTGAACGATGGAGCGGTCCCAGCTGTAGTTAATCAACACTTCTTTTCTGCGTATCGATTATTGAAATGCTTTGCCGGCTGGAGTTTCAAAAGCTAGACTAAGTAAATGAGAGTTGGTGCAAAGCTCAGCTGCTGGAACTCTCATGAGGCCTTTTGGCTCCTCAATATTTGCCAGAGCTCTTCTGAAGCTGGTCTTTTAACCGTTCAAACACCTCGGCTAAAATCTGTGTGCTCGGGCTTTCTCTTCGTTGGCTCCTGAACTGTGGAACTCAGATTAGCAATGCAGAACCCCTTTTGGTTTATTATATCTTCTTTGTATTGTTTGGCTAGTTCTTTACTTTTTGTGTGTATGTTTTAACTTTATAATTTTCATAGGCATGTAAAGTGCTTTGAGTTGCTACTTTTAAAGGCGCTACATAAAATGAAGTTAAAGTTTATTATTATAATATACGTGTATAATATATAAAAGATCCCGGTCACGTTCTGGAAACGGCTGTGTTTTGTTGCTCGTCGCTCTTCAGCCTCCAGGAGCTCCGCTGTTTCCGGAGAGAATCATAAAGCTGTATTTCTTTTATAAATCTGATCAAACTAAAGAGTCTCTGGAGATGTGAAGGATGCAGCGCTACTCTATAGGTACTCACGATTAACATGAGACTGTGTGTGCTATGTTCCTCTTTAATAGTTATCTGAAAGCAGTAATAAAATCCTTTTGATATTCATAGTCATAAATACTCTATATATGGGTCAAATCTATTCCAAAGCATACTATTTGATAATATGTGAGCCTGCAGCACAAAAGCAGTGTTAAGTCGCTGGGGGATATTTGTAGCAATAGCCAACAATACATTGTATGGGTCACAATTATACATTTCTCT